CATCTATACCTTATGGGCTCCCCACACATATGCATTGCAGCTGGGTCAGGGCGCAAACAAACGAGATATATCAGGGATGGAAAGAGAAAGGTAATGGTACATGGTGATTTACAGAACAAAGAAAATCAAGAATTCAAGAGACGCTGCACTTGCGTCCCCAGACACCCTCTCACTAACTCACCCTCGCACGTTATTCATATGCGTAGGTCGCTCCAAAAAAAAACGCCTTATTGTTACAAAAGAGCCACAGAAAGGAGTTGGCCCTCTGGCCGGTCTCGCCAGTCTTTCTTCACACTCTCACTCTCGCAGCACCCCGATCGTCCAACCCTCAATCTACATCATCACCCCATCACAACTCACCCACCTTTCTCTCCCAACCTCCAGTTGTCCTCTCGATCATAACCGGGCTACTCACATGCGCCTCCCTTTCGCGCCATCTTCACGTCGTCCTCCACAATGCCATTTCGACATTACGCAGCCATATATTCACAGGCTGCCCCTTATTGCCAGCATCATTCTCCAAGCTCCACCGCTTTGCCTGGAGCATCCACCCTCGTTCCAATTCGCCCGTCCTCCCTCAACAACACCTTCGCTTCAGCCGTCTTCACTTCGCCCTAAAGGCCTTTCTTTCCAGGTTTGTGTGCCAACACCTCGTTCCTGACCATCGCCGTCACCCTCCCAAAGCACGCACAGGCACTCTGAGCATGCATGTGCTCAATACGCCCGCTTCACCCGTCTTCGCCCTAAAGGCCTTGCTTTCCAGGTTCGTGTGCCAACGACTCGTTCCTGACCATCGCCGTCACCCTCCCAAAGCACGCGCAGGCATTCTGAGCATGAAAATGTGCTCAATACGCCCGCTTCAGCCGTCTTCGCNACTCGTTCCTGACCATCGCCGTCACCCTCCCAAAGCACGCGCAGGCATTCTGAGCATGAAAATGTGCTCAATACGCCCGCTTCAGCCGTCTTCGCCCTAAAGGCCTTTCTTTCCAGGTTTGTGTACCAACAACTCGTTCCTGACCATCGCCGTCACCCTCCCAAAGCACGCACAGGCACTCTGAGCATGCATGTGCTCAATACGCCCACCGCCGGTCGTCCCCTTCCTGCCGGTCACCTTTGCGTCCATGCCATGACCGTGTCTCCACCCACTCAACACATATACATGCCACCGCCCTTCAATTGGACTCTGCTCCGCCGATCTGGCAGCTGCAACCCTGACTGAATTAGAAGACAATGAGGACAGTTGTCTCGCAAAAGACATAACCACCCGTACCCTAAACAAAAGTGGGAGTTCATGTTTCCTCCGTCTCTGTACCTCTCACCGTCCTCCTTCTCCCTCATCGACTAATTTGAACGACTCATACACCTACCTCCCATCCTTTACAATGCCTCCGTAGTCCCAGAAATCATTTCGCATCACTGTCCTTGAAAATTCTCTCGCATTCAATGTGTAGTCGGGCTGAAGATGGCCAACCCAGCACCAGAATTGACAAAGCCTATCAAAGGCGAGACGCCGCCCCCCCGCTTCTCACCTCACCACAGTCATCATCATCACCATCACACCATCACCACAGCCACCATGAGCACTATTAAATGTTCGCCGGCACGAGCAAATCCAATCCTGCACTTGATGATAGGCAAAAATTCGACCTTCCGATCACTGGTCTGCCACTGCAGCTCACACGGGCACTCCAGAGAGTGAGAGAATTGAAGCAAGTGCCTGTAAGACAGCAAAAAAAGTGCTTCCTTCTTGGGAGAGGACTGCCTCAAGCTCAACCAATCTCTGGTTCTACATCTCTTTCAGTGTCGGTTAACATATGCGTACAGACTTGAACAATCTTCTCTCTCTCTCTCTCTCTCTCTCTCTCTCTCTCTCTCTCTCTCTCTCTCTC